GTCTCTCTGTCTCTATGCTTCTCAAATAAATTTTAAATTTATTTTTTTACGGGCCAGCGCTGTGGCACAGAGGGTTAAAGCCCAGGCCTGTAGTGCCAGCATCCTATACGGGCACTGGTTTGCACACTGGCTGCTCCACTTCCAATCCAGCTCTCTGCTATAGCCTGGAAAAGCAGTGGAGAATGGCCCAAGTGCTTGGGCCCCTGCACCAGCGTGGGAGACCCAGAAGAAGCTCCTGGCTCCTGGCTCCTGGCTCCTGGCTCCTGGCTCCTGGCTCTGGATCGGCTCAGCTTGCGGCCATTTGGGGAGTGAATCTGCAAAGGGAGGATCGATCTCTCTCTGCCTCTGCCTCTCTCTCTGTAACTCCACCTTTCAGATAAATAAAATAAATCTTTAAAAAATTATTTTTTTAATCTCTCATTCCATTCCAATGTATTTGCACGTTTCTGATTGAAATCAAAAACAGAAAGAAAAAGACAGGCCAGACCTTTCATGGGAGAGGATCCAGAGTTCCCTCTACTCCCCATCTTCTTGCTGCATAAGGCTCAGTATCCTAAATTAGGAAGCAACCCATTCACCTTTTTTTTTTGAAAGGTTTATTATTTTTTTTGACAGGCAGGGTGGATAGTGAGAGAGAGAGAGACAGAGAGAAAGGTCTTCCTTTGCCGTTGGTTCACCCTCCAATGGCTGCTGTGGCCTGCGCACCGCGCTGATCCGAAGGCAGGAGCCAGGTGCTTCTCCTGGTCTCCCATGGGGTGCAGGGCCCAAGCACTTGGGCCATCCTCTACTGCACTCCCGGGCCACAGCAGAGAGCTGGCCTGGAAGAGGGGCAACCGGAACAGAATCCGGCGCCCCAACCGGGACTAGAACCTGGTGTGCCGGTGCCGCTAGGTGGAGGATTAGCCTATTGAGCCGCGGCGCCGGCCTCAGTCTTTTATTTTCAAGAAATTTTTTTAAGATTTATTTACTTCAAAGGCAGAAAGAAAGAGAGAGATCTTGCATCTGCTGGTTCACTCCCCAAATGGCTGTAACAGCCAGGGTGGGTCCAGGCCAAATCCAGGAGCCTGGAACTCCACCTGGGTCTCCCACGTGGGTGCAGGGGCCCAAGCACTTGGGCCATCTTCCACTGCTTTCCCAGGCACATCAGCAGGGAGCTGGATCAGCAGTGGAGCAGCCGGAACTTGAAACTAAGACTCCAATATGGGATGCCAGCATCACAAGCAATGGTTCAACCCACCACACAAGGTCACCTGCCCCAGGAGTAAGGAAATTAACTTGGGACTGGCGCTGTGGTATAGCAGGTAAAGCTGTCACCCACAGTGCTGGCATCCCACATGGGCACAGGTTCAAGGCCCAGCTGCTGCACTTTCGATCCAGCTTTACTAATGTGCCTGGGAAAGCAGCAGAGGATGGCCTAAGTCCTTGGGACTGTGCACCTGTGTGGGAAACCCAGAAGAAGCTCCTGGCTCCTGGCTTCGGATCAGCCCAGCTCCAGCAGTTGCAGCCATTTAGGTAGTGAACCAGCGATGGAAGACCTCACCGCCCCCCTCTCTGCTTCTGCCTCTGCCTTTCTGAAACTCTGCCTTTCAAATAAATAAATTTTACCCCAAAAAAAGAAATTAACTTAATTCACTAGCTGTTAAATAACAGTGAACCGGCCAGTGCCGTGGCTCACTAGGCTAATCCTCCGCCTAGCGGTGCCGGCACACCGGGTTCTAGTCCCGGTCGGGGCGCCGGATTCTGTCCCGGTTGCCCCTCTTCCAGGCCAGCTCTCTGCTGTGGCCAGGGAGTGCAGTGGAAGATGGCCCAGGTGCTTGGGCCCTGCACCCCATGGGAGACCAGGAAAAGCACCTGGCTCCTGGCTCCTGGCTCCTGCCATCGGATCAGCACAGTGCGCCGGCCGCAGCGCGCCGGCCGCAGCGGCCACTGGAGGGTGAACCAACGGCAAAAGGAAGACCTTTCTCTCTGTCTCTCTCTCTCACTGTCCACTCTGCCTGTCAAAAAAAAAATTTTAAATAAATAACAGTGAACCTTTGACCACATTAACCTTTAACCTTTAACCTTTCTCCACAACTGTCTTTGTTGTCTCTGGATTTTTCTCTGAAACAGAACTTTCCTTGGTCTGTAGGAAAGAGCCCTTAGGAATCTGTTATGCTTTATAACTATGTGACAAATTTTATCCTTTTATACAAGGTATAATTAAGTGGAAATTGGGACTTTGTTGAATACAAATGACACATACTTGGAACAGACGTCAGGGGCAAATGTATTGGCTTTTCCAATGGCAAGTCCACAAGGTGGGCTGAGGGGTCACCAGGTGCCTCAGTCCAACCTAAATGGAGCCCTTCAGAGGGTGCACACACTCACACCACATCCAAACACAGCACCATGCGCGTCCCCACACAGAGGGCCACAGAAAACCCAATCTGGGTGCTCATCTGTTGAAAGAGCAAAAGAGGCTCCTGCCTTCCCACCATCCCCAAAGAACCAACCTGAACCCCTCAGTTCTGCTGAGCAGACAGCACGACCCTGTGACATGGTCCAGCTCCCACCCCATTCAGAAAAGCCCACCTGTGCATGCAGCTCCTTGCAGGCAGCACCCAACAGTGACTCAGTGCTCTAGAACGGACCTGTGGCCTTTATGTGAGGACGACACAGCTGATGAACCTGCCCGCCACAGTGGACTTTAAACAGCAAGCTACACAAATGGATCACCTCACAAAGGGTGAGGGCAGAGAGCGCTGCCATCCCTCTGTAGCCAGGGAAGCCTTGGAGGCTTCACAAGTACCGAGAAAGGCTAGACATTCATCTGATCTCAGAAAACGCCACAGGAGAACGCTGGCCAACAAGGGTCAGGATGCTACATAAAGAGAAAGGAATTAATCGGCCCTCATTAAGAGGATGCTGCAGTGACATTTAGACCACATCAAAGAGAAGGCGTTTGTGGAGGGAGCCTCCCACCCACAGCATGCCCGCCAGCCCACTGGCCAATTCTGGCCTGCAAACAGGCTCCTGACCCTCTCCATCCCCTCTAGCCAAGGACAGGGTCACGTCCAGAGAAGGCTGACCATCTGTGCAGCTTGGACCATGCAGTAATAAGTGCTCCCCCCACCCACCCACTTCCAGCCCTGGCTCTTGCTGGGAAAGCCTTGGATCTCGTGGCTTCCATGAGATACACCCTCCTGCTCCTGCCTCAAGCCTCTGCCCGCCCGTGACCTCTTCTCAGATTTGGAGAGAAGTTGACAAGGAGCTCACTGGAGCTTCCTGAATTGTCTTCCTGTCAGCCTGAAAGTCCCTCTGTGGCTTCCTCCCGCCACCACCTCCTGTCTTTCTGCAGGCCCTTCCCACTTAGTTCTACAGGCATCAGAGCCACACCCCAGACAGCACCACTGCCTTTCCCACAAGAGGCCCCTAGACAGCACCAGGTGCATCCACAGCCTGGCTGCCAGCTCAGAGGCCTCCTTGCCTGGCCTGGGGCCTGAGAAAGGCCACCAACCTTTCCCCACTGTGCCAAGACAGCCTACCACGCTGGCCTCCACATGGACCTGACCTCTCCTGCAGGTCCTGCAGCACCTCTGGCCACCTGACCCTGCTGGCACCAGCCTCTTGTTGCACTGTGTAGCTAACTTTGATGCCCCTGTCCAGGTAGGCAGGGACCAGGCCTCACAAACCTACCTCTCACAGATGATGAGGCTGCTACACACACACATACAAACAAAATGCACACACATGCATATATACACATATACATACAGGCAGACACATGCACCATGCATATATACATGTACGCACATGTGTATGCATACACACATGCATATCCATGCACATACAAATACATACAAATACATGTGCACACGTGCATATACAAATGTGCATGCACTACACACATGCAGACACATGCAGCCATGCATATATACATGCACACATATACATACATACACATACACACATGCATATCTGTGCACATACAAATACACACAAGCATACATGCACAGATGCATACATATACAAATACATGTATGCACAAATACATACATGTATGTACATACACACATGCAGACACATGCAGCCATGCATATGTACACATGTGTATATGTACACATACACATGTGCATGTCTGTGCACATATAAATACATACAAAATGTGTGCACGCATGTGTGCATATACAAATGCATATGTGCACACATGTGCATGCACCCACATATACACACATATATGCATGCACATACACACATGCATGTCACGCACAAACATATGTGCACACATGCATATATATACACAAATGCACACATATATACACACAAATGCACATGAGCACACACAACACCAGCACACCACACCCTCCAAGTCCTTCACGTGAAAAAATCCATGGAATTTTCAAAGAGGGAAAACACAACGCTAACTGGAAAGTGGCTCATTCAGAAAAGATGTCCCTACTGTTATTTGTGAAATGCGCTTTTGTGCCGTCCTGTGTTCCGCAGAGCGTCTCTGAAATGCAACGCGCTGGCTGTGTGAAATATGCATCCCATTTGCGAGAGTCATGAAGAAGAATGTAAAACACTTCATTTTTACTGCCAACCTATTGAGGTGATATTTTAGATGTCTTGTGTTTAAGAGAATGTATTACTAAAATTAATTTCACCTCTTTTCTTGCTTTGCTCCAAACGTAAAATTATACATGTGAGAAAGCTGGCGTTGGGGCACCACAAGGTAAGCTGCTGCCTGTGACGCCAGCATCCCACAAAGACAGGGCACCTGTCTGCCTGGCTGCCCTGCTTCTGATCCAGCTCCCTGCTAAGGTGCCTGGGAAGGCGGCAGAGGATGGCTCAATTACTTCAGTCCCCACAACCTAAGGGACCCCGTGCGGGTGAGCCAGGGGTGCGCTCCTGTGGCATGTGGTATACCCTCACCCACTCACAACCTGGCAGGCAGTGACCAATTCAATCCTAGTCAAACAGAAAATCGTCTCTTGTCACTCAGAAGTATATATCCTCAATCACTCAGTTACCAAATGCACTGGTTACCAGACTGTCATTTGCAAGAATAGGATCTTGGGTGGGCTCCAGTTCTAACCATGGGAGGCTTTTATTTTGTTTTCCACATTTTGGTCACAAAAAGGAAAACTGACATTCAGTAGCTGGGCCTTGACCCCAGGCCAAGGGTCAGGAGGGGAGTGGCATTGGAATGGACGTGCACTCTTTTACTCCATCGAACTCTCATCCTTGCGGGCTGTGGGTCCATCCTGGGTTGACTAGAAAGGAGCCTGTCTCTGTTGGGAGTCCATTAGGGCTTCAGTGAAAAATCTAGAACAAGCTGTGTAGACACAGAGGAAAACATCTGGGAGATTCTTCCAGGCTCAGTCAAGGGCCCCTGGGAGCAGCTGCCATGGAGCTTGTGCCAGAAGACAGGAGAGCCTCACCTTCCAGAAGGTTCTTCATCTCTGGCTTCACGGGCTAAGGACATGTAGGCTGCTGCTGACCCTCCTGGTTCCCCCTGAGGACAGACAGCAAGAAGGGAGGAGGACCTGCTCTGTGTCTCTGGCCCGGTCTAAAGGGGACGGGATTTGGGCTGGGAAGGGAGGGCCAGTGACACATGACCTTGAGTGAACCAGAGGTCTCCCAGTTCCAGAAAGTCTTTGGCAAGAGTCAGAGCAGCTCACTGAGCCCTGCCGAGGGGCCATTGTCTAGCAGAGGAAAACATCTGTCGCTAACCCATCCCACAGCCCAGCCCTCACTACAAACACCCTCCGGGTCTGACCCAACTCTCCACCTGCTGTGTTCTGAATTATGGCTGGGAAATGCTCTATGAGAGCTTTGATTGCTTCTGCAGCACATTTCTCCTTCATGCACCATGTTCCCAGTTCGCTGTCATCAACCAATAAAGCTGGACTGTCGTTTGGCCAGCGTCCAGGCTGTGTGGGTGGGGAGCAGTGGACGAGTGTCCCAGGAGAGAGGCCACCTGGGGCGGTGCACCAAAGCCGTCTCGGACATCTGATGCTGCGATTGAGAACAATCCTTCAAGCTCCCTCCTGCTCGGCTTGCCAGCCTCTGGCTCTTCCTCCTCCTCCTCCTGTCCTGCACCTGACCTCCACTGGGGACAGTGCAGCGCACATCATGCCCCAAGGAGGCACCAGCGTTCCTCCCTCCTTAGTTCACATCTGCTTCAGTGCCAGGACGAGAGCTACAGCCGGGGGCCTCCGTGCTGAGCTCAGTGCAAAGCAGGGGTCGTTTCCTGAACCTCAAAGCAACCGCCTGAGTTTTGCAGCGGAGGAACCTGAACACTGAGAGAAGCAGCCCCTGTGCCATGAAAATGCCACTCCTTGCCCCAGGACATGGTCGCTGTGGGAAACCAGGGTCAGGGACACTGTTCTGTGTCCTGGCTGGAACGTTCACCATCCCCCAGCAAACCCCCTCTTCAAGAGGACCACACAGGGCAGTCGCAAATTAGGGCCAGAACACATAGCGTGCGCTGACTCAGGCTCTAACCTCCGTAGTGCCCGCCAGCCTCACCCCTGCCCTGCCACTGCTCCCTCTCACCCAGGAGCCCCAGGCTCAGTCCATGGGCCTTTCTGCCGTCCACTGCCCGCTTCCAGAGAGCTCCTCCAGCCTCCTGGCCTCAGGGACCACCCCCATGCCGACTATTCAGACTCCCCGTTTTGTCTCCCCTGGACTCTGCACCTGCGTGTGCACCTGCAGCTCGCAGACCTCACCTGGGTGTCAGTGAGCAGTACTAGCTCACCACAGCGAAAGGGACTCCTGGCTCCTCCCCATCCCACCAGCCTGCTCTCCCTACGTGTCTAGCCGGTCGCTAGTCATGGTTCACCTACAGTCCCTGGCAACTCCATCATCACCAAAGCTTGGAGCCATCTGGAATCTCTTTCTCTGATGTCCCACATCTGACAGCTTCAAGCAATTCCCACCACATCCACTGTGATCCTTGCCTCTTCCTCATCCTCACCCACCTAGGTCCACACTGTAATTCCTGTCTGATCCCTTGCCTGCGAGTCCACTCCCTTCCCAGCAGCCTGGGTGATTCTCTTAAACCTGAGTCACGGGGCTGACATCTAACCTAGTACTTAAGATGCTCATGTCCCACAGTGGAGGATCAGCTCCAGCTCCCGAATCCAGCTTCCTGCTAGTGGAGACCCTGAGCGGCAGTGGTGATGGCTCAAGTGACCGAACCCCTGCCACCCACATGGGAGACCTGGATTGACTCAAGTTTTGCAACCAGCCAAGCCCCAACTATTTCCCCAGTATTTGGTAAAATGAATCAGTGGATAGAAGATCTCTCTCTGTTTCCCCTTCACTCCCATCACTCTGCCTTTCTTTCTTTTTTTTTTTTATTTAATGAGCATAAATTTCCAAAGTACAGCTTATGGATTACAATAGCTTCCTCCCCACCGTAACTTCCCTCCCACCCACAACGCTCCCCTCTCCCTCTCCCACTCCCTCTCCCCTTCCCTTCACATCAAGATTAATTTTCAATTATCTTTATATACAGAAGATCAATTTAGCGTATATTAAGTAAATATTTACTCTGCCTTTCATGTAGACAATCAATAAGTATACATTCAGGAAAGAATGCTAAGTTGGGTGCAGACCAACTGCCCCTATGTGTCTTTAAGCAAAGCCCCAGCAATGTGGCGATTTCCTGGAAGTGTGGTTGCCAGCAGGTCCCCCTTCCACTGCACGCACAGAGATGGACTTAAGTAAGACTTTTGGGCAGGTGCTGGGATTTGCGTGTGTCCCCATGAATTCACGAGTCAGCCCCTTGTGGCAGTGTGGGCAGGCGCAGCCTCATGGGAGGTGTTTGTGCACGGTGGGCTCTGCCCTAATGAATGGATTCAAGGCCTCCTGGCAGGAGTGAGTGAGTTTTCAGTCTCCCAGCCTGAAGCGGTGACTACAAGAGCAGGTGCTTGGAAACCAAATCTGCCTCCTGCATTTTGCCTCTTCCATCATGAGCTGAAGCAGACCCGAACACCAAGGACCAAAATAGACTTCTATTCGTTACAGATTGTCCAGTCTCAGGAATCCTGTGATGGGAGCAGAAAGTGGACTGAGACACAGGTAACCACTGAGTGCTGGGAATAGTGGACAAAGGCGCCACCCCTTGACCTCCCAAGGTCAAGGAAAGCCCCCAGCTGCAATGAAGCCAGCATCCCAGCACCGCCATCATTACAGCAGTGGGCAGCCTGTGCTATGCTATGCTAATACCCCCCGGGATGAGAGGTCGAATCCATCTTTGTTGAATGCCTTTATCTGGACCATGAGCCTGGGGTAACTGGTCTTTCCCAGGACAGTGCAAAACAGAGTGGGAAAAAAAATCTACCCAGGTAGAAATAACTCCTTCAGCCAGCATCAAACAAAAATGGCTGAGGCAGGAATGATCTGTGGAAGACCAGGGTCAGGAGAGATAAAATGCACCCTGCCCCATGCACTTGGAGCAGGAGCCAAGCCCACCAGGCCACCGCAGTGTTGGTTCCAGCGGGAAGGCGCCTCCCAACCCCGCACGCCGGCTTTCATCTCAGCCGCCATTTGCGTTTTCACTTCTGTTTGACTTTGGCTGGGAGTTAATGAACTGTCTGCTAATCTAGCAACAGAGAACCTCGGAGGAAAACTTTTTCAAAGGGAAGATAAATGGGATTCTAAGAGAAACAGACATATACAAGGGGAGCAGACCCTGTGGAGTCATCCTGGCTGCTTAGCGAATGTCTTCGCCTGCTGTGGACAAATATTGATGGCTGAAGGTTTAACGGGGAGATCATGAGCTGACATCCTTGTAAATACTCAGGTGACCATGCACTGACGGCCTAAGAAGAAGTGGGGCTGTCGCCACATGCACACACATGCTAGAATGAAAAGTATTACACACTAGAAGAAAACAGGAGAAAATTGGGGATTTCTCAGAACACAAAAAGCAATTATCATTTTTTTTAAAGGTGCCATAATGTAAAAGGCCTGCTCTTTAGAGGATGCTGATAGGGGATGGGCATTTGCTGCAGTGGTTGAGGTGCTGCTTGGGACACTACACAGCACAACAGAGCGCGTGCACTGCAGCCCCCACTCTGCTTCTGATCTGGCTTCCTGTTGATGCGCATGGTGGGGGAAGGGCAGCAGACAACAGCTGAAGCACCTGAGTCCCTGGCACAGGGAGACCCAGGTGGAGTTCCCAGCTCCTGCCTTCTGCCTGGCCAACCCCAGCTGTTGTGGGCATTTGGGGAAAGAACCAGCAGGTAAAAGCTCTCGCACGCGCGCGCTCTCGCTCTCACTCTCGCTCTCTCTCGTTCATCTCTTTCTCTCACTCTGCCTTTCAAATAAAAATAAAGCTTTTATAAAGATACAGTTAAAAAATTCAAAGACAAACCACAATGGGGAGAAAACATTTGCCAAACACATATCTGATGGAGGACAGCTGGCCAGGCTAAGGAACCCGTTCTGGGACTCAAGAGTAATGCACAATCCTATTTGAAATCGGCCGAAGGTCTGCATGGGCACTTCCCAAAGAAGTAAACATAGATACTCGATGTCACTAGTTGTTAGGGAAATGGAAGTTAAAACCACGTATCTCTACATGCCTATTCCAATGGCTCAAAGATTAAAGCACTGCTACATGCAACTGGAATTCTCACACATCAACGTTGAAAATGCAAAATGATACAGCTCCTTCGGAAAACAGCTTGGCAGTTTCGTAGCAAGTCAACCACACCTGTGGCACAGGTGTCTGATCTTTGTCCTTGAGAAATGAAAACATACGTCCACTGCAAACCTGTAGTGAAGCTTTATCCCGGTTTTATCCATGTCTGCCAGAAACTAGAAAAAATCCGATGTCTGTCGGTGAACACAGAAGCGAGCTGCGCTACCCCACACTTCAGTATCCCACTGGGGATTATGCACCAGTGAAACCAATGAACTTTATCTGCTTGTGCAACAGCAATAAATCTCAAATGCTCTGTGCATTTGAAAGATGTGAGGTGAACACGGCTGCACGCTGAGTTCCCATACATGGAATTCTGGAAGAGGAAATCCATAGGGGCGGGAAACACATGGGGCTGCCAGGAGCCAGGAAGCAAGAAGGGATTGGCTAGAAAGAAAAGGAAAAGGAAGCAAGCCAGGGGAAGAGGCACCCTTGGAGGGGGAGGACACAGGGTGTGAAGTGTCCCGAGATCGTCAGCACAGAAAATCCTGAGGTGCACCTGCTACCCACCATCCAGGCAGGCGAGCCACATCCAGACGTTAGCCCCAGCTGATTGTTGAATAGCAGTCCCCCTCCCCCTTATCCACAGGGACACAGTCTAAGACCCCCAGTGGATGATGAAATCATTGGTACTGAACCCCGTGTGTCCTGTGATTTTTCCTCTAGGCCCTGCAGCATTGCCACATAGAGACAGCCTTAGGGGCCTGCACTGTGGGCTAAGCCTCTGCCTGTGGTGCCAGGATCTCATATGAGCACTGGTTCAAGTCCCAGCTGCCCCACTTCCGATCCAGCTCTCTGCTATGGCCTGGGAAAGCAGTAGAAGATGGCCCAAGTCCTTGGGCCCCTGCACCCACGTGGGAGACCCAGAAGAAGCTCCTGGCTCCTGGCTTCGGATTGGCACAGCTTGCCATTGCAGCCATCTGGGGAGTGAACTAGCTCATAGAAGACCTCTCTCTGTCTCTCCCTCTCTGTCTGTAACTCTGCCTCTTAGATAGATACACAGTCTTAAGGCATCTTCCCCCTTTTATGTCCTAGTGCCTCCTTGTCAGCACAACCCTTGTAGCTTGTGGCTGTTATTAAATAGAAGAGGGTCCCTTGAACACGTGCCCGGTGACCCTTGATCTGACAGCCACCGGGAAGGCCACGAAGTGACCGACAGATGAGTGGCGAGTACCCCAGGGATACGCCGGACCGAGCAGACAGCACAAGCCTCTCTCTCTCACTCCCCAGATCAGTACACAACTTAAAACTTAGCAAGTGCTTCTTTCTGGAATTCTCTATGCACTCTGGTGGTTAACTGCAGGTGGCTGAAACTGCAGAAATGAAACCCCGGGGCAGGAGGGGACTGGTGTACCACCCACCCTTTGTCCATCCCCCCCACTGACGGGCAGCTGGGCCGTTTCCAGGTCGGGCCTCACTCTGAGTACTCGGGGACCCACGGTGGACGTTAAGCAGCTTAGCCGCAGGCTCAACATCTTAACAAACTGCTAGGGACTGCGCTGCCCTGCTTTCCCGCCAGGGGCCCTGTCCCCCTACACCTGCTGGGCTGGGTCCTCTTGGTGTTAGCCACGTAGCGGGCACGGGCGGAGTTCAGGGTTGCTTTAATGTGGTCCTTCCTGGTGCCCAAGGGTGCTCGGAGCACTTTCAAAGGCCCCTGAGAAGTTGGGGGGTCCCCCCAGTGGCACGTGGAGACCACGGCGGTCCTCCAGCACCTGCTTGGCACCTCCTCCCCCTCCCGCAAATGGAGGGCTCTCCCCGAGGGGCTCTGGTTTCCGCCTTGAGCCAATGGCCTTGGCCCCTGTTAGAGGTCAGCTCCCAGCGTGCTGCCGGCATGTGTCCTGTGGGAAACCCCGATGCAGACGTGGTGGGTACTCGATGTACGTCAGCTCACCGCACGCTGCAGGTATTTACGTCAGCTCCCAGCATGCACGTGATGGGAGCCTGCTGTATGTCAGCTCCCAACATGCACATGGTGGGTACTTCCTGTACGTCAGCTCCCAGCATGCACGTGGTGAGTGCGTGCTGTACGTAAGCTCCCAGCATGCATGTGGTGGGTACGTGCTGTACGTCAATCCCAGCATGCATGTGGTGGGTTCGTGCTGTACGTTTGCTCCTGGCAGGCAGCTGGTATGCGGTGTGTCCTGCACTTCGGCCCCCAGCTTCCGTCGCGCAGCCTGTACGTGTGGTACTCATCTCCTCGCACACTGCCGGCATGCCCACAACGTTTGCTCCCGCACCCCTGCCGACTCCCGCTTGGACTCCACCTGGAGGGAGACGCAGGTGGGCAGATTCCGAGGGGTTGGGGCCGGTCCGCTGTCCCTGGACAGACCAGAGCCAAGCTGGGTCCCTGGTGAGACCTCGGGGATTGTCCCCTTCAGTGCAAGGCATCGCAGGGCCTGTCCCCTCCAAGCCCCCGCCGCACCACGGGAGGCGTTTTGTCAGAAACCCAGGCACGCGCAGGAAGCAGGCTCAGCCCCAGGCGCAGAGAGGCATGCAGAGCGCTCCCTCCCCAGGGCATGGGCCGCGGAGCCAGGAGACCCATGCCCAGGATAAAAACCAGGCGCCTCCTCTCCCGGGCCCGCCTCTGAGGCTGACAGCCTGCACCTGTGTCCGCCGAGACACACCTGGGTGTGCCTGGCACGGTTCACACACCCCCACCTTGGCCTGACTGTCCCCGCACCGTGTGGCCTGGAGCCCACGGCGCTGGTCCCTACATAAAGTCTCAGCGTTCGAGGGTGGCGGGTGCTGGGAGTGGTGGCACCGACGGGAAGGGCGCCGGGCCTCTGGGGATGTGAGAGCTCAGAGCCAGGGCAGGCGGGCCACACCCAGACCTTAAGCCCCAGCTGCACCGGGACTGGGGGCGGGGCGGGGCGGGCTGACTTCCTGAATCCGCGGAGGAAGGGCTGGACCCCGCTCTGTGCAGGGATCAGGGAGGGAGCCAGATGTCACCGCGGTGACAGCAGCCAGAGGCCGGGCTGGGACGGGGGCGCCGGGCGGGGAATTTCTTCCTTCGTGAGCAAGCAGCTCCCGGAGGCACACGCTGCAGGGAGAAATGGTGTTAGTCTGCCATGAGGCCCACTTGGTGAGCCCCTGAGAAATGGGATGTGTTTAAGTGCGGTACAGGAGGACTCCAGGGAGTGGGCGTTTAGCCTAGTGGTTAAAACACCTGTGTCAGGGCCGGGGCTGTGGTGTAGCGGGGAAAGCCACCGCCTGCAGTGCTGGCATCCCATGTGGGCACTGATTCGAGTCTCAGCTGCTCCACTTCTGATCCAGCTCTCTGCTGTGGTCCGGGAAAGCAGTAGACGATGGCCCAACTTCTTGGGCCCCTGTACCTGCGTGGGAGACCTGGAAGAAGCTCCTGGCTCCTGGCTTCCTATTGGCACAGCTCCGGCCATTGCGGCCATTTGGGGAGTAAACCAGTGGATGGAAGACCTCTCTCTGTGTAACTCTGCCTTTCAAATAAATAAATCTTTAAAAAAGCAAACGAACAAAAAACCCGCTTGTGTCCCACATCAGAGCACCTGGATTCAGCTCCTGACCCTGGCTTCCTGCTAATGCACACCCTAGGAGTCCGTACAGATGGTTCAAGTGTTGGTTCCCCTGCCATTGGCCTGGAAGACCTGCGTTGGGTTCCAAGCTCCTGGTCTTGATCATTGGGGCAATTTGGGAGTGAATTAATGGATGAAGCTCTCCCTCTCCCTTCATTCCCTCGCGCTCTCGCTCTCTCTCTCTCTCTCTCTCAAATTGAAAGCAAGAATACCAGAGATATGGGAAGGGCACGAGGCAGGCCAGCAGCAGCACCTCCGCAGACAACACATCCCAGGCCCCAGAAACTACAGCACTACAGTCAGGTGCTCTGTGAGCAGGTGGGCGTGCCACGAGAGCTTTGCAGAGAGATCGTCTGACTGGACTTTTGTGAAAAGACGCTGCCTGTGCCAACCGTGCTGGGGACACGCTGCAGGGTGCGGAAGGGGCAGGACCTGTCGTGTGGTGTTTTCATGGTGGTGCACGCTGTGTCAACTATTTCTCTAAGTCCAAAGCATAGGCCTGATGACTGCTCCTGACGCCTGTCACTCGCAGACAGGTATCCATAGCAACAGCCCTCTCGGGTACCCACCGCCTCTCCTTTAGCTGTCATGAAGTGTATAAAGTATACCTGAATTCTACGTGACGCTGAGGTTGTAGTTAAGTACACAGCCTACTGAGTTGCAGCCGCCCGTGTTAGGCAGAACCTGCAGCCACGAGATGCACACAGCAGCCTCAGGTGCAGGCACTTCCCCCAGCCACCTTCCTGGCTGGGCCTGGGATGCCACCATCAAGGAGATAGTTCTGGAAATAATCTGATGGGAGAACTTTAGACCCCCCTGGACAGGAGCCCGTGTGAAGGTGCTTGTAATTCCTGTTTCAGGAACGAGAAGAAGAAAGCAAGAACACCATTCCCTTGGTGTTCAGAAGGCCCTGACTCAGCTGAGGCTCTGTCATCACCACCTTAAAATAATAGAATAGAGGAGAAAGGAGGCACCACTGTTAATACCACTCACTTGGATGGGCACACACGCACCTGTTATAGTATTTCCTGGGCTTTTTTGTCTGTCTCTTTCTCCACACACAGACAGAAACACATAATTACAAACAGGATGTATCAGTATTTGAGAGGGGCTTCAAAAACTTTATGGAAATGGATTCAGATATAAGTTTATTTTGTCACAAAAATTTTGGCATCCATGCAGATTGTTCATAATGCATATTTTGATGATGTTTTAGGAGACCCCCCCCTCATGCATGTACACACACAAGCATATACAGAGTCTGGGAGTGTGGTTCCGGGACCCCCACCAGTGCCAGCTCTGTGGATGCGCAAGTCACTTAGATAAAATGATTGCATATAACCTAGACACATGTCCCTGTGTCCTGTAAATCACCTTTGGATTCATTATAATGCCTAATATTTTTAAAATACTGTGTAAACAGCTGCTACACCAAATTGTTGAGGGAATCATGGTACAGAAAAACAGTCGGTCCATGTTCAGAATGGCTGCAAGTTTTGGAAATTTTTTGAATATTTAGAGGGATCAAGGGTTTGATTGAATCCACAGCTGCAGAACGTGCAACTAGGTAGTGCCAACTGTATGTAAGTATATATGGGAGGACTTTAGAGAGTTTGTGGGAAAATATAATTAAAGTTAGCTTTGTTTTGGTACAAAAAAAGTGAAATCCATGAATAGTTAGTTTTCAACTATTTATTTCAGAGGCAGAGTGACAGAGTGAGGGAGGAGACAAAGAAAGAAAGAGAGGTCTTCCATCTGCTGATTCGCTCCCTACATGGTTACAAAGGCTGGAGATGGGCCAGTCCAAAGCCAGGAGCCAGGAGCTTCTTCCAGGTCTCCCATGTGGGTGCAGGGGCCCAAATGCTTGGGCCATCTTCTGCTTTCCCAGGCACATTAGCAGGGAGCTGGATGGGAAGTGGAGCAGCAGGGACTTGAAACAGCGTCCATATGGGATGGTGGCACAACAGGCAGCGATTTTACCTGCTACACCACAGTGCTGGCCCAAAAGATTTTACCTTATTTTATGCTGACAGTCCCAGAGGATTGGTATCCAGAGTCTGGGCCCTGAACAAAACAGGACAACATTTTATATACCTTGGCACAAACACCTGCAACTTTCCCTTTACCTATTTGGTTAGACATATTTTGATTGGCTATTTTATAGCTATAACACAGCTTATGTAATTATTACAAGACTGCATATGTATATATCAAAAGTGCTTAGGTTGCAAAGTAGCTTTTCTCAGAAAGTCCACTTTGCCTCCTTGTTCCCCAAAGGCCCCTGCTGGAAAGCCCCTACCATATCTGTCCCCAGCCAGTTCCCCTTCACAGTATAACTACTTGTTTTCTTTAGTTTGGGGAGGGGGTAGTCCCTGCCACATCAGACCAAGGACAGAGCCATGATCCCTATTTGATGCGGCATCTTAAATGCAGCAGTATACCCGTGGCACTAAGTCAATGCTCACTCAGTATCTGCTGGATAGATAGATGGGTGAATGAGTTGGGTACTTGAGTAGGCACCATGGGGCAGCACCAGGACACTGCAGGGTTGGCGTCTGTAAGCCTTAAGCTGGAAGATGAGAAAGGATGCAAAGAGCTGTCATCCAATACTGTGTGACCTCTCAGGGACACTGAGAGGCCAAATATTTGGACACTTGTTAATAACAGGAAGACAGCAACCCTTGTTCCCAAGACTCTGGGAAGGGGGCATCGCTTGGACTCGTGCACTCTGTCTTAAATATTCCAACAAAGAGAGGATGCAACAGGTCAGCTGGTTGCTATGCCTGCCCTCGGTGTCCTAGAACTCACTGCAAGCTGCCAGTGGCCTTTGTCACCTCAGCACTCTGAGCTAATGATGTACAGCTTCATTGCTTTGGCTGATGGAGCTTGGGGAAGTTAAGTGTTCTCTTTGATATTTGTCTCTGGAATTAGAAAACAAGTCAGAAAGACAACTCATAAAATTCTGCCTGGAGCACTGTCGCGTTCCCAAAATGATCCTTGGCGGGGGGGGAGGATACAGGCTTATCCATATTCAATCTTTAAAAAAAAAAGATTTATTTATTTATTTATTTATTTATTTGAAAGGCAGAGTTAGAGGCAGAGAGAAAGGTCTTCCATCCACTGGTTCACTCCCCAGGTAGCTGTAATGGCTGGAGTGGGGCCAATCCGAAGCCAGGAGCCAGAAGCTTCACACGCAGGTGCAGGGGCCCAAGGACTTGGGCCATCTTCCACTGCTTTCCCGGGGCATAGCAAAGAGATAGGTTGGAAGTGGACCAGCCTGGACTTGAACCAGCGCCCATACAGGATGCCGGCACTGCAGGCGACTGCTTTACCTGCTACGCCACAGCACCACCACCACTCCACCATCTTCAATCTTTCAAAACAGAAGTCATGATAAACATGGACTATCTCCAACAAATATTCCCTGTTTTGT